TTAGTCCTGAAAAAAATGACATAAGAATCCAAAAAAATAAATAAATAAACTAGCTGATTTGAAGAGAAAGCAGGTCATGATAGATGAAAACTAAAAGGTGACATGGATGTAAAAACATGTCAAGCTTAATATATTTTGGGACAATATTTGTCAAAGGTCTGAATAAAAACTTAAGGAGATGATTTCTGTGCGTTAGTATGAAAAGTCTTTCTTCGGTCTGAAGAACAGCTGAACAAACAGAGACRTTTACCAGGTTTAATAACTGCACCAACCAGAAACATCCATCCAGCCTGGATGAGATGGTGAGGCGTGTTTCTGTGTTTCCAAACTCACTTTCTGAGAATTCAGGTAGAATGGATCCAGATCCTCCAGGGGTACCGTCACCATTCCTTTAGGGACGTCCCCGTAGATGTAGGGCAGGCTCTTCCCGGCCTCCAAGTCGCTGTTGGGTTTGGGCTTGTTCTCGTCATCGTCGTCGCGGTAGCTGCTGTCCTGCTTGGGCGGCTTCTTGTTCTTCTCCTCTTTGAGGCGCTGCTCAAGGACCTCCAAAGACTCCCTCGTAAACTTCCTGAAGCTATCAGGTCCTGGCGGTGCGAGAAGGGGTGCAGCCATGTTTTCATCCTGCAGCTACTWGGTCATGAGGTTTGGACCGTTCACAGTAGGAGCTCTGTGGGAGGCAAAGGGGGAGGRGTGTTTTTATTTCTTTATTAAATGATTATTTTTATTTATTGAAATAAGCTGAAAGTAGAAACTTTTCAGATGACAAATCACAGCTTTAGAGGCAAAATAAAAATAAAATACGCAAGCTCCTTGTGATGACAACACCTCAAGTACTCAAATTTATGACATAATGGTTTATTAAAACAATAACAGATTTGTGAAACTATCATTTGAAGAATAAACATTAAAATCTTAAAGAATAATCATTCTGYTTTCTCATTAGTGTAACTCAAACAATAAATTGTTCATTATTGAAATAAAAAAACATCCTTCAGGATTTATAAATTCTTATATCTCCTCTGTCAGTATAATTCTGATTTTCTATAGTTTAGTGAGTCTTTTTTAGATTGTTAAAAAATAACCAACAAATATTATAAAGAAGTAATTATTTGGTATTATGCTTCTTATTACTGTAACATTTTATTCCCTGCCACCAAACGTTGAAGATGGATGATGTTTTTGCTCATATTTGTGTGTATGTGTGTCTGTTACCAAAATATCTCATGAGCGACTAAATAAATTGTAATGAAACTATGATTATTCTACAATTACTTAACCTTTAGAGTCAACCCAAATCAAGATGGCTGCCACAGCCAACTGATCTTTGAAAACACACAAAAAAGCTATAATTTAGTAAATTCTACAAATATTAGGATAAAAATTGATGCATTAAKGACTGAACGTAATTGACAGCGTGCTCCAAGTGCTGTATATTGCATGAGATCCTTGATTACAACTTTAACATTAACTGTTAGAGTCAACCCTGTTGGCATTTTACCAATACRTCTCATGAGCCACTGCAATAAGATTAATGCAATTTCCAGGAAATAATCAATACATGCACAACTACAGCTGATTAACTTTGGGMGACAATACAATTTGAGAAGGCCGTGACAGTTAATCCAAAGTAGCACTACAGACTTTGAGCTAAAACCTGACGTGGTAGTAGCAGAGTTATTCACAAAACTGAGCATCTCGCCATGTCACGTGWGAATGTGCATCACGATATTTCATGGCAGGCTATTTCAAGGAAAAAACAACATAAATAGACTTCATCATGATTGTTAAAGAGAACAAAAAGGACCAGAGGAAACTTCTGTCCCACCTGAAATAAACATTTGAGGAACTTCTTAACCCTCATTTCCTCTCAGCTGSTGACATCCCTCTCATTAGTCCACGCAAATATGTATTTGTTTCAGCTTCTRTGAGGATGAAGGTGGAACAGAACCGAATCACAAGGCCTGCTCCCTCCTCTCCTTGCATAACCACTCTGATTGCAAATGTGAATCTGGTATCAGACAGGAAAAGACTGCACTCGGTCCTGTGTGTGTGTGTGTGTGTGTGTGTGTGTGTGTGTGTGTGTGTGTGTGTGTGTGTGTGTGTGTGTGTGTGTGTGT